CTTAGCAACAACTAAAACATCAGTGTGTTATCATCAACGTTATTCTCATCCTAAATCCAAAACGCAGCACTGTACCAGCTACTAGGAAGAAAATTGACTCTATCCCAGCCAAAACCAGGACACTCACAAAATGTGTAAGAGTTTTCTTGTACATTTTCATGCAGTGGCTGCTCTAAAGTTTTTTAGTTGGCAGGGTTCTCAACAGAAATTTTTGTAGCAGTTGTGTGTGTGTGTGTGTCTAACACAATGGTGTTTTAAGAGAACAAAATGAGCAGAAAAAGATAATACAAGATAAGAATATTTAGTTGTTGAAATCAGAAAAACAGCCATTACCTTGTAAAGGACCTTGAAACTGTCTTCTGCAAGCTCCTGTCCACACTCAGCCCAAGTTGCCATACGTCCATCCCTCCGGCCTTGGGATAGGCAGGGAAATCCCCAGGGAGGGCTGCTGTGCAGGCACACCGTGCTTCCTGCTGGGGTTTGCACTGCCCATGGCAGGGTGTTGTGGTGCTGGGCTTGGTGTTAGCCTGTGAGCCATTCATTCTTAGCGCAAGAGGCAATTAATACTCGGGAAGATTTTAGCAGGATTACAAAGCTCTGGTGGGAATTAAGTCACCTGTCCCCAAGGTAGGAGTCACAATTCTACATGGCAGCTAAATGGACTCCCAGAAGGGAAGGTGACACCCTAAACTGTTGTGCTTTTTAAAAGGCAGCTATTGCATATGAGTAGGTGCACAAAATATGCATATTTTATCTGCCATGCACATTTTATCAACCTCGCATTTAGCCACAAACCTTTATTTTGCCTCAGGTCTTGTCTCAAAATTTTAGGCCTTATCTGTGTAATGGAGAAGGATGCTTAAAACCAAAACCTGGGAAACCTGACACTGGGGGAGAATCTATTTGTTAGAGGCAATATTAAAGTATGCCCAAATGACAAAGACCAACCAGATACTGTAATACGTGCCCAAAAGTCATAGGAACAGAGGTGCTCATGGACACAGAATAATAGCTCTGTATCTCAATTACCTCAAGAATTCACAAAGGAACAGTTATATCAGATCCTCAACTTGTATAAATGAACAGGACTCTGTGGACTGCAGTAGAGTCTTTATGGACACCTATTTTATGTCTTTTATAGGCAGAAGCACCAATAGAAATACAATACTTGCCTTTTCATTGAGAAAGTGGCAACTGAAAATGTGAGGGATGCCAAAGATGCTGCACTAAAAGAGCACAATAAAACGTTTATAATTATATTAACATACTCTGAGGATCAATTTATTAATACATGTCAACATGAAAAAAATATTTTTTTTAAATAAAGTTGTTGACTAATAAAATTTGTTTTTATTTCTTCCTAGCTGATTCTAATAACAAAAGAATTGGGCTTCTTTTGTCTACTCCTAGTAAGCCATAGGATTTGAAGATGGAAAGCAAAAGAGGCAAGTAGCAATAACAACTCTGAACTTCAACGGAGAGGACTTCAGGGAGATTCCTGGTGTGCTAGTTCCCAGGGGCTGCTGCTTTGAAAGACAAAGGGGCCCAGGAGAGCAGGTTGATATTCAGGGACAACCTCCTCAAAGCACGAGAAGCATCCACTTCTGTCTGCAGGACATGATGAGGGTGTGAGGAGGCCAGACTAGCTGAATGGGGGACTCCTGACTGGGCTTGGAAAAAGGAAGCCTACGGGGGATGGAAGCAGGGATGGGCTGCTCAGGAGGAATAAAGAAGGAATGCCCAAGCATGCAGAGATTGAATTAGGAAAGCCAAAGCTTAGCCAGAGTAAAAACTGATGAAGGACATGAAGGGTTACAAGAAGGAAAGACTGAGGGAGCTGGGTTTGCTCAGTCTAGAGAAGAGATGGCTTCAGGAAGAACTTATTGCTGTCTACAGCTACCTCCTGGGAAGGTGCAAAGAAGACAGAGCCAGACGCTCCTCAGAGGTGCACAGAGGAAGGATTAGAGGCAAGGGGCAGAAGTTGCAGCTGGGAAAAAGATATTCAGAACCCAACCAAAGGGCCTGAACTATCTGCTCCGACTTCAATGTTATCCAAGGTTTGAGCAGAGGACTGAATGATCTTGAGATCCCTTCCAACCTGAATTCTTCTGTGATTCGCCTTCAACTGCAGAAGTTAAATCTTCCCTCCCTTAACTCCAGATGTTAATTTTCATCACTTTTAGTAAACTTCAGCACTCCAATCTGAGCAGACTGATGGTGAGCTGAGGTTGGTACTATTTCGCACATCATCCCTTGCTTAGACTTGTACAACTTTCTGTATATATTGTTAATACTTTTAAACTTGTTCTTAAGAACATAGCCTAAGGAAATGCTAGGTAATGCATGATGATATTACTATGAAGTAAATGTAAGTACACCCTCACCAGCACATAGCAGTTTCATTTTATTCTTTTTGTCTGTGCCTCATTGATTTCACTTTAAATTTCTGAGTTTCCACACTCCACGTGGCAGCAGCTGAAATGATCACAACCATGGGGCTGTTTGTGCTAGACAGAAATCTGGCAGTTGGACTAGATGATCATTGTAGGTCCCTTCCAACTGAAGTATTCTATTCTATTCTATTCTATTCTATTCTACCCTACCCTACCCTACCCTATACTATTGAGAATAAGCTGTCTGTACGTCCCATTTAAGTTGACAGCTAATGAAAGGGACTTGAATCTGTAGCTTCTGGAACAAGAGTAAACGTTGTACTTATTGTAAGAATGTAAAAATGTCCAAGCAAAGGTAAATTGTGTCTGGTAGAAACCAACAGCAGAATAGAAAGTAACAGCAGGAGAAGCCAATGAACGGTAATTCTCCAATAGACTTCCCTAACTGCTAGCAATCTGTGACTGTTTGATCTATCTTTGAAGTGAGTTTTATGGGCATCCTTAAACAACAGAACAATCAGCCTTATTTCAGCACCAAAGAAAGAACCCTGTCTGAAACATTGAAAAGGGAATTTTAAAAAGCATGGAATATGTTAAGACTGTAGCTACTTGGTAGCATAATCTTCTGGGGAAGGAAAATATTTTCTTTGCTATTCTAAGAAATTTTTTAGCATGTCCAAGAAATTACGGATGACTCGATTTATCTGTATTTTCCAAAATCCTTTAAAGAGATCAGTGAAAGTATGTTAAAGAAAAAAAAGTTGCTATAATGCAGTATAACAACATACATCAGAGACTGGGTAAGAAAAAAAAATAAAAGTAGTAATGTACAGTTAACTCTGAACATGAAAATGGCTATCATACAGTCAAAAGTTAATAGATGTACTTATGGTATATAGTAGCATTCATTATACCAGCATGCTCTAGAAAGGGTATCTGTAGGTACAGGGCTAGCGCCAGGGATGTATTAAAAGTCCACAGAGGCTATTTAGCTACAGAAAGGAAATCTTACTTCCAGGTATTTTACAGTTTCACACAGTACAATATTGGTACCTAAAGAACAATGCCCTGTAGGACACTATCTTATTATAAGGGGATCTGTCTCCTCTCTTTTACTGATGCAGGGGTAAGGGAGCACACCAGATAATTCTGCCAAGGTGCAGGTCCATGCATAACCCAGTGCCAGCCCAGAACTGGTCAGCGGCTGCAGCACAGAGGACAGCCCTCAGACCTGCTGGCTGTCGTGTCGAGAACCAGCTGAAACGTCCGTCTTGGTTGCTATCACCATCCCCGCTCTCTTTTCAGCCCAGACTGGCTGCCTATCAAATAACCTCCATCTAAATTTCTGCAGCCAAAGCAAAAGGAAAGTCATATCTTTTATCTCTCTGGCATACAAGAGTTTCCATTTCTCTTCTATTTTGAAATAAGTACTTATGAGTTGTTATTTATCATCATTTTTTTCTTGTCTGAATGTCCCATTGCAGCTTTTAACTACCTGTTATACTTTCTCTGCCCTATTGTATCTACTGCCAGTAATCTCTTCTCTATGTAGCTATTCATATGTTTTCATTTAGTAACCTCTTGATTTTTTATTGGATTGCAAACCAGATTAGTCTTATTTTGACTGCTATTGTTAGGCATATATTCCAGATGTTATATCATTCACCAAAGTTTTTGCAAGTTTTCAGTATTTTTTTAGAAGTGTGAATGCCAGATCTCTCCATGGTATCTCAGAAATGGTCTTACTACTTACAGCTGAATGGCTCTCCATTTGCAGTTACCCTTTTTGTTCTGTCACTTAACTACTTGTTAATCCACATAATTTAAGTAATTTTTGCATCTCTATTTTTTTTTTCATAAACTCATGCAATTTAGGTGCCTACAGAAGCTTTATCTTACATACTAGTACCATTACCTTTATCGGTCAGACTTTTGATCTTCAAATAGCAGAACCTATCTGACAAAATCTGTATTTCATAATACCAGGCTGATGGACATTAATTGCTTATGTATTTTATTTTCTTTCTCATGGCATCCTATTTCTACCTTTTTAATTGAGTCCTGAATCCATGTCATGTTAATGAGCTACAAGCTTCTGAAATCAATCAGTTTAACATTTGGACGTGTTTTCCCTAATGCACTTGAAATTCATGAGTGGTTCAAGGTTAGAGAAAAATCGACTTCAATCTTTCAGAGAGTTCTTTGACCAACTATTTTAATACTCTTGGAAAGTGAGTTCTCCAATCCTATGTCTTTTTAAAAAATTACCAATATAACTAAAGATCTGTGTCCAGTTAATTAGAATATTACTTCCAGTGTTTCAAGTGCGACAGCTTTACTTAGTGACTTGTGAAGTGTGGCTAGTTGGGATGCAAATTGTATTCTGTTCCATGTGTGTTGCATTTAATGTGTCAGAAATGACAGAAAAGTTGTATGGCAACTAAAAATGAAATCTATTCCTAGCTGTATTTTGTCTTTTTTTCTGATATGTGCAAAAGTATCCTAGAACACAGATTACAATTATGTGACGTGTCCTGAGCTATACTTCCAGTACATGCTATCTCACAGTATATCATACAGGATTTATGATCTGTTAATGTTAATACTCCCAAATTTGCTCACATTCACGAATGATACAGGTAATACATACTGTAAAGGAATATTTGTGAATGTACAGATGTGACAATAATCACAAATATGCTACTGTATAGGAATTGCAATACCGTGATTAATAATAATAACAGTAGTAACAATACAGCCAGAATATCCCTCATGGTCATCACAGGAGTGTTTGCAAAACTGCTTTATTTAGAGAATCAAACACTAAACCATATATAGCATATATAGCAACTTTTTTTGCCACTTGGGTTCAGATTCCCTATGAGTGTATAGGGTTTTTTCCTGCATGACAATATTAAACATGTCAGAATAGCTTTCAGTATATCCTAAAATCTAAATACTCTGTATGTCTAGCACATGTATGAATGGAATTTCATCCATGAATGGAATACATCCAGTGTATAACAACTATGGATTATAGGAGGTTGTCGTGGTTTAACCTCAGTCGGCAACTGAGCACCACGCAGCTGCTCACTCACTCCCCCCCCGCCCCGGTGGGATGGGGGAGAGAATTGGAAGAGCACAAGTGAGAAAAACTCGTGGGTTGAGATAAAAACAGTTTAATAATTGAAATAAAATGATGATGATGATGATGATGATGATGAT